CCAAATGAAAGCTGGTCACTGTGTGCTTGTGCAAAGATTCAAGGAGATGCATATTAATTTCTGAAGAGACACATGTGCCTTCGGAGCTGCAGCTTGGCCACCCCTGTGTATAGGCCATCACTCCTTCCGATCTTCTCACTGGTCCAGTAATGCTGCATTCAGCACAAAAAAACCTGTAATCCTTTCAGGAGTGTTTTCAGTGCTCCTTTACAAAATGCAGGTTACATACGTGCGTTACAACCTAACATCATTGCTAGTAGCTTGCATACTATTAACAATGTCTTCCTGAATTTCCCAGAGATAATTAGCTGTGTTAGTCCACAGTTGAGCAGAAGACGGGATAGGTTTGCATCTTTTATAGACTAAATCAGAGATGCATAAGCTTTTGAAAGTGGCAGCTGACTTCATCAGATGCTAAGGAGGGATTTCACAAATCCTCTGTCTTTTCCATATCAAATCCCTGTCTCTCCAATTTGGTCTCCCTTACAGCATACTATCCCAGACTTAGTCTAGCAGCTACCAGACAGTATAATCAACTTCAAGGAAATTCCTACTGTGAGGGTATTGTTGAAAACTCATTTACTTGGTCTTCCAAGCATATTCACATGAATTGCATCTTTTCATGAAGACTGTTCTTTTTCATTCACTGTTCTGAGGGTACTAAGAGAGCTTCATTAGCTATATCAGTGGGAAGGGTTTCAGTCTGTTCACTCCAGAAAAGATTCTTCTTATTGGAAGCACAGGAGTTCAGGCAGAGATAGTGACACTGTTTGTCCTTGTGAACCATCAGCCCCACTGTGGATACAAGCACTGCTGGCTTTATTCAGCTCTGTGGGGATTCCTGTAAACAACTGCTTCGCTATCCCAGCACATGGCCATTCCTTTCTTCCCCATCACAGAAGAATGTGTTTACTTGTTAGCTTAATTAATTTTGCTGACACCAGAAGTTACTAGTCTTGGATGAGGCGTCATGGACCAAGAGTCATTCAGTCCCTGCACAGATGTCTCTAGATAAAATCAATAGTGTTTGGGTCACCTGTTCACATTTTGGATAACCAGAGATTCCTAGACCTTCTGAGAAGGGATGAGCTCTCATTGAGTGAGATGATAATCATTTTGTCCTGGATTAACTTTTGTCGATATTTTCTTCACCTATAAATAGAAGACTTGGGTCCTGCCGTGGTCTGATTTCCCTGCCCCCCGCTCTCCACTCCCTCCCCCCAACTTCAAAGAAATCAAACTGTTGCTACCAGACCCTTGCTTTCTAAATTTTCAAATGGGCAAAAGGGAGAAGTGGAGGGACAAGTCGTATCTCAAATCTCTTCTGGTGACCATTGATGCAGCAAATGGTGACAGCCATTGCGTGGAGGAAACTACTGTAGTTTCGCTCTTCAGGGATCCCTAAAGAGGTCCAAGTACCAGAGATGCTCTCCCTTTTCAAAGTGGTCTTGTGAGCTCTTCAACTTGAAAACAGATGAGGCAGGACATTCCCTCAAGGACTTGCATGCAACATAAACAGGTCTATAACATGGCTTTTAGACAGAAGCAGCATAAACCACAACATCAGTAACAATAATTCTATTCTCAGTATACAAGGATGGAACTGCCTAGGAGGTGTCAGAGTTTCAAGGGGGAAAATGTAAGTCCCTGTCTACATCTAAGTAACTCAAGCATTGTATAGCTTTCTTTTTTATCATAAACTTTCCCTTTGGGATTATTTTATGAAAGAAAGAAAATCTATTTTGGACTTGAGACGAAACAACACCTCTGTCAGCAAGATCGAGTTCAGGATGGTGTCTTTGTGCTTCTGTCATCTTGTCCTTGGATTTGAAAGCTTGTAGACTTCTCTTCATCTCCAGGGTGCTAATTTCTGTATTGTAGTCTACCTCATCCACAGAAGGCATCTCAGTTTCTGAGTTGGCCTTTTCTGTTACTGAGTATATAATGTTTGTCCTCTCAACTGGATTTGGAATTTCCAGACTACGTCAGTCATGGCACTTCCACGAAGCTGGGAGTCTTAAGTATTCCTATACCTGAATAATAGCCTCACTTGCAGGAAATTACTCTAGAAATGATCTTTCATTCAGCAGACTACATCTGAAAATAAACAAAGATAAGTTGATACTAATTTCAGCACAGAAACATAGGAACCGTAAGCACACTTGCTTATCTATTAGTAGAAATATTTCAGGCCATTTTAGCACCCATCTATAGGCTTATCTGAGAATGCTGTTAAAAGATTGTCACTGGTAGGTAGGTCACATGCTGTCTTATATTTTTGTGACTTTGGTTCAGACTTCTTTCTATTTTCCTATGCAAGCGTGGTTGAAATCTGTATATCAGTCAGCCAAATTTCAGTTGGATGTGCTAGTTCACATTCTGTCACCTGTTGTCCTGTTATCTTTGTTGGGGCCATTGACAGCCTGTGTCTGCTTCCATCCAAAATTTTAGTGATGAATGCCTCCGCCTTTTGTGTACGGAGTCTGCCTAAACAATTTACAAGTGGAAGATTTATGATTCCTCAAGTGAAATTACATGTGAATACTCTAGAGTTTAGGCTTTACTTACTGAGAGTGGTTGTCCAGTCTTCCTCCAGGCCAGTGATATTCATCATCGTTTAACTAGAAAAGTGAAGTCAATGACAATGATAGCAGAGCAAGATCTGTTTGTTTTAGATCAAGAGGCCACATGACTGGAACCTCTCAAAGTCATTTCTTGGCAGATGCACAGCAGTTAGTCTACTAAATGTATGGAGTGTATTGGCAGATCAACTTGGGTGACTGAGTGGTCTATAAATGATTATTTTAACAGCATTCCTCAAGTGAGGTTTCTTCACTGTGGACTTTTCTGCCACCATAGGAAACAGGAAAATGCTGTTTATGTGCTCCAAAAGAGGGTTAAAGCTCAGGGTCAGCTTCAGGTTCATTCCTAATTTCATGATCCTTAGGTCTTCATTTTGTACTTCCTTTGATTCCAGTAATGCCAAGAGCTCGAGTAGGACTCAGCCAACATAGTGATAGTACTGGACTAAGACAGCTGTGGTACTTAAACCTTAAATCTCTGTCCAGCTTCTGATATTCCCATCTTTCAGTACATGGCAGTACTACAATCTCGTCCTGCATCTTGATCCATGTACTGTCTGTTTCATGATGTGGATAGTAGCTTTCTCACTTCCTCAAAAAAAAAAGAATGTGAGGGCCTCAGAACATGTACGCTCAGTAGATACACTTAATAGAAAAGATTCTGGCGCACATATGTATTCTGTTAAAGGGAAGCAATTTCCATTATGGGAGTAAGTTCCAGCTGTTGTCTCCTAGAACTCCAGATTCCTGATGTTCTAAACTGCCTAGATTAAAGAACTCTGGGAAATAATAAAAAACACTGAGTTTTATCTATTAGTGATTTTTGGCTCTGTAGCATCCTAATTGGGGTTATTCCATGTTCTCTTATTCCACATTGGCCAGAATTTTAAACAGTCAAGTTCTACCACTTGTTGGAAGATGTAGTCCTGTTTTGATCTAAATACTGTTTTAAGGGACGTATTATTAGCCCTGCTAATTGAACTCGTGGCTAATTTCTCCTTTTTTCCCCTCTCTTGGAAAAAAAATTGGTAGGTAGCTTTGACCAGTAGGATGAGGGAGTGTAGAAGGTCAAGTTGGCAGGACTTCCCTGTTTCCATGGTCTATGCTAAAATATGTAAAATCCCCAGTGAAAAGGGCGATATGTCTGCCTGTCTCCTAAGGGCAGATGTTAAGATATACTTGGTTGAAAAGAAAAAAAAAATCCTCATTAGAAATGCTGTTGTCTCTAAAGAGCTGTGAAGAAAATTAGATCACTTATTTGAGGGAGAGTATGGTAGAATATTATAAGTGCTATATGCTGTTATGTCTTTTGCCTCTGCTTTTATCTCTCTTCCCTGTCCTAACTTCTGTGAATGCAGTAGCCCATCAGTCAGTCTGAAGACTAGGGGATTCTTTTATTATGAGAAGAGCTGTTTGCAATAAGTTCTAATGGTCTTACTATTTGCTCTCAGATATACTTTCCTTTGGGGGTGGGGGGAAGCTTTTCTTATTGATCTTTTGCTGTAACTCGATTAAATCTGACCAGTAGACACAACAATACCTGACTTTGAACTGAATATAAGACAAAGCTGACTTATTGTACTGAACCAAAATATCAAGATATCTTGCCTTTGTTTACTGGTAAACAAGAGGCATGTTTATATGCTTTATTTACTAAATAATTTGAGACACTAAAAATCGAAGGTTGAGCTTTATCTGCATTTTTGTGACCCCCTAACACCTGTGTTCTTTCAAAAAGTGATTTAAATATTGTGAAATGTAACTTTCAGATTCTCCTAGTGAATGACTGTAATATTTACAAGTAATGTTCAAAATATTCCACTGATCAAAGTGATTTGCCAAAGATAGATGTTGAAAGAATGTTTGCTTATTAAGTTTGATGCAAGTGATTCCTGTTATCAGTGTTATCTGATAACTCTGCTGACCGGTTTTTTAGGGGTTTTTTTAGTCCAATTCTCTCATCATGTGTACTTTAATTGGTAAAGTGTGTTTAAATGTTGGGTACAGATGTAGTACGTTGTCATAAAGATAGGATATAGCATTAACTCCTTAGTGTGTAAGAAGCTTCAGAGCATCATCCCATTGTCTGCACTGCATATTTGGCCCCATTAATTCCCAGCATCAAGGGAAACAACGTGTGGCTAGGGTCATACAAATGTGTTTACTGTTAAACCCTGGAACACTGTTTTACCGTTTTGTAGTTGGGTAGTTTAATAAAACAGAAATTAGTTGCAATTAATCCTAGCAACTCCTAGACTATTAAATATAAATTGTTTTTAAGTGGGTCTTTTATATACTGGCTTACTGGTGTTTTTTGCTTACCATAGTTAAAAAGAAAAGGATTTGCCACACCCACTATACAGTATTTGAAGGCATTTGTAGACCTAAATCCTCTTTTTCCTTGACTTTGTTTCTCAGACCACCAATTCTCCCTAGTCCTTCTCCTTCAAAATCCATTCCAATCCCACAGCCCTTCCGACCAGCAGAAGAAGATCATCGGAATCAGTTTGGGCAACGGGACCGCTCTTCTTCAGCACCCAATGTGCACATCAATACAATAGAGCCTGTCAATATAGATGTAAGTATCAATAAAAATGGATTGAAATAGTGAAGCCTTATCAGCTTGCCTAACTCGTGCCTGCGTATAATTTTTAGCATAAACACACAACTGTTACTTTTTTTAAATAAATACATGCTGATCTACGTAAGAGTTCATAAATTTTAGATAACAGGAGAGGAAATGTTGGTAGTCTAGAGATGTGGGGAAAATCAAACAACCTGTTTCAAATAACAAAAACCCTTTTTTGACAGCCATATCCTCACTTCTGCAAACAAGCAGGATGCTACAAACGATTAGTCATTTTTAAATTCAGTCCCCAAGCTATTGTTGCTATGTGCACCTGAGTGTTATGAACCTGAAAAGACAAAGCAAAATAGTGACAACTTTTTCAAAGCATGCCAAGGATTAAAAGTACTGCTTATCTGTGAATCCTTATATTACTTTTAACAGAAAAGATGATTTATTAGATGCTGGTGTTTGAATATGTCATCCTTGACTTGCTTTCTGAGCCTCCAATAAATTGCTACAATGAATGTCTTGATTTTTTTTTTCCATATAGTTTTTGATATTTTTGAAGACTGAATTTTAATACCCATGAAAATGGAGGACATAAGATTGTGCTTATTTCTAATTGATCTTGGCCAACCCTCTACAAACTATTGTTCGCACTGCTACCCCCCCCCAGTTGTAAATACCATATTTACTTGATTCTAAGATGAGGACCTCCCTTCTCCCCTCCCATTTAACATGGTGGGGAAAGACCCTCATCTTAAAATCACATATGACAGCAGTGGGAGGGGCAAGCAGCTGCTTTGGCTCTGGCTCCAGTCTCCATCCAGGGTTGCTACAGCTGCTGTCTCCCTTTTCCATTCCCTGCTGCTTCTGCACCCTGCAACCTCCCCGTTGCAGCCTTTTCTCCCCACCTTCCACCCCTCCACACACTCCATGCAGCCTTTTCTCCCCTGCCTGCCCTCTGCCTCCCCACTTCTCCCCCCTTGCTTTTGCTACGTGCTGGCAGGCTCTGTACACATTGTAGCCTGGGCACTGAGCCTGGCCCCACAGCAGTAGTGCGTAGCCCATATGGCTGCTACATGAGCTGGACTGGGGTTGTGCTCAGAACCTATTGTGTGGAGCAAAGATAAGGGGAGGGGGGAATGAGGGGAGCAGCGGCTGGAGAGAGAGTGCGGGGAGAGCAGAGGCTGAGGGATAGTGGGGGAACAGGCACAAGCAGGGGGGCAAGCTGCTTGACCTCCTCACACCACCTACATTCCTACTACATGCCCCTCTTCAGCAGTGGGAAAGATGAATTAAAGATGACCCTCCAGTAATTAGATTCTATACATGGAGAATGATAACACATTTATAAATTTTACATGTATAGGATCTAATTGTTGGGGGTTGTCTTAAACTCAGGGACATTTTAGATTCAGATAAACACAGTACCTGCCTGAATCTTGATTTTTTTTTTTTTTTTTTTAATAGCTCCCTTCCCCATATGCGTATTCTAGTTTTGAGTCTGCAGTCTGAAAATTACTGAGTTGTCACTTTACATGGTCTTAAGGTCTACATAGATATTCAGATGTGCAAAATCTTTTTTTACTTCTTACTTGAATCATAAGCAAAGTTAGTATTTCCTGGGTCACCATGCCTCCAGATTTAAAACACACTGATGAAAACTGACCTGTGAAGGGAACAAGCTTGATTTTTTTTTTTTTTTCTCCATTTAGAAAATTGCTTTTTTAAGTCTATTACTAGTTGTAAAATTGCATTTTTAGGTTGTTAGTCTCTGGATATTTTGTAGCAGATGTACTCAGTGAATACTGTATTATAAGCTAAAATAACCTATTAAAATTAATGAACAACTTTAAAAAGAACTGAATTAATTTGGTGCAGAAATCAGGAACCTTTCTAGAAGTAAAAAACAGAGGTTATTTTAGTCCATTTCTCCAACATAAGGAAGTCATGTCCCATCATCCTGTATGACAGTCATAACCATATTATATTGCAGACAACTAACTGGGAAAATGATTACCAGTTCTGGTTCAATATTTCCCCTTGCATATTGACTTAATTGGAAGTTTAAATCAATACCTTCAAGTAAACATGTCTTTTAACTAGCCCATATCTCAAGTTAGCATTGGGATTCACTGTTTTAAAGTAAATAGGTTTTGTCTGTGTATTTTTTTTTCTGTATTATAATTATTAGATTGTAAGATTATCACGGTGGTGACTGTCTTACTCTTTGGACAATACCTGGTACGGTGGTGGATGGGACTGCAATCTTAATTGTAGCTTCTAGGGTGGCACTACTTTGAAATATTTGTATTTGTTATACATATTTGTGCTTTTGTTTGTAGGACTTGATTAGAGACCAGGGGTTACGAGGAGAGGGAGGTAAGTAATTTTAAAGAATTCTCTGTTACTAAATATAATTATATGATTGCTTTGCCCCTCCCTTTTGTACTACTTATTTCTGCAAAACAGAGAGAGGGAGATGTCAACAAAGCAACCAATATATTTATACTTGCTTGTCCATGATGTTTAGCATCTGTCTGATAAAGATTTGTCATTCACCAGTCATTCTGGGAGTGGGGGAGACAGAAGGAGGAAAGGTTTTAATTGCATCAAGAGGAGGAAGGGTATCCCTCTCATCTTGATGGAGTCCTGGGGAAATGTCCCTATACACACATGCACACTCATGCTCCTTAACTTCACACTGTGCACACAATGCCCTTTATGCCAGTCACTATCCTTCCACCTAAGGAGTCAACAGAGGCTTCCTTTGAAGCTTGTCAACATGGTTTGTGAACTGGCCATGTTAATTGCTGCATCCTCTAGTCTAAATGGCATAAGATACTCCAGTTCTTCTCCCCCTCTGCCCCTTGCTGAAGATGCTGCTTTGCTCTACTGCATGCCTTTGCTAACCTTGGAAACAAGTAATTAGGACCTCAGATTAAAGCCATGTCTTTTGTAGGCCCCTCAGTAGCACTGTTGTAGACAGTGTAGACGGCCTTAACTTCCAGTTACAGCAAAACTCATGACAGAAGGTTGTCTTATTGTTCTGTACATGTCACACATGGCCTGCAACATCTGCTTTCTGCAAGAAGAACTCTTAAGTGCTTGTTGTCAGGGTACAGGGTCTGTCTTTGTTGTATTTAGTCACTTGAAAATGACAAAGCTGTTCCCTAAGAGGACAGGCATATGACTATTTATCTAGATCCAAATAGTCAACCAGCGTGTTGTCTTCTGTTAACTATGACTTGCTTCACCTCTCAGTGAAGTCTTAGTTATGCTGGTGCATTCTACTGCACTCTTCAGGGTCTTACACCTTAAGCCATTGGCATTCTTAAATCTGCCATCTGTATCTGTTAACCAGAAAGGTGGTGGCTGGCTAATGCTTTGTGTTAGGAGGAGTTACAGTTTGTTATACTATATATAAACATATTTTTTCCCCTCTCTTTTAAATACGTAAATGTAACTGATTAAGAACTTGCCAGATTTTACTATCTTGTATGTTTTGGTAAGGTGTGGTTTTTCACAATTTTGGCCATTTTTGTCTAGTGTTTGAATGTTGTATTATCATGTCAGTTTTAACTTTTGTCGTAAGCTGTGTGCTTGGCATCTGAGGACAATGTCAAAACCCATTTTTTTAAAGAACATTTTAATAAATATTTTTTCTTCGAAGTCCAAAAATCAGTCTGTGATAGGAGTCAAAGCATCCTAGTTATTTCCCATGACTTCTTTCATTTCTTCTGTGTGTCTGTCTTTCTGTCTCTGCCTGCCCGTCTCTTTCTCTCTAACAGCCCCTTTGAACCAGTTGATGCGCTGTCTTCGGAAATACCAATCCCGGACTCCCAGTCCCCTCCTCCATTCTGTCCCCAGTGAAATAGTGTTTGATTTTGAGCCTGGCCCAGTGTTCAGAGGTAGTTGGGCTCTTCTTTCTTGTTTTCACCCAGAACAAAATAAGTAAAACCACAGATGCTGTTTATGTCTCACCCTCACACTGTGTGTATGTAAGTGTGTGAGTTTATCAGAACACCTCAATTTCTTGCTTGGCCTGGCTGGAATGCTTTGAATGTGCTTTTCACACATACTCACTTCCACCCTTATACATTTGGAAACTATTATGTGTTAAATTTGACTTAAAGCTTTTCAATCAAGGAATTTCAGAGTTGAGGTTTCTATATATAGTTCTTATTGTAATTTATATAAACAGAGAGTCTTGGATAGTGAACTGTTAAGGACATAGTAACATTCTTAACTTTGAATTTCCTTGACTGTTTAAGTCAGTTTAGTGTTCTAATAATTTTCAGAGTTTAATATTCTCTGTTTTTAAAAAGGACTCTGAGAGAGAAAATACAAATTACAAACATTTCCATTGTTATCTTGTTAGCTTTTAAGTTTCTAGAGATCACTTATTGTGTCAACTTGTTATGATATGTATGTTTTGAGGGTTCCATTTGCTGTTAAATTGGGGTTCCAAGTAATCTGAACCAGATTAGACAATAGTGCCAGTTGAGGTACTGTGTAAACTCCCATTGTACTCAGCATTCATTTGTGTACTGATATTGCTATACAAGACCTGTGCATTTTAATATCTCATTGAGTCAGGGGGTCTTTCAGGCTTGAAGCTAAGTCTTTTTTTGTTGATTGCCCAAAATCCTAGCTAAAACGAGAAAAAAATTATATGCTAAAAATACCAGTTATTAATAACATGAAATATTTTTTCTGTATATAATGTACCTCTGCGTATATGAGTGGCTGCATGGTGGCGCATGCTTTTCAAATGTTACTTTTTTTGGCTGCTTCAAAGATTTTTGTTTCAGAATACCAAGAGCTGCTCATTTTATGGACTAAACACTTGCCAGATTATGCCAAAGACTTTTGGAAAATAGGTATTTGCAACCCAGCTCTCATTCAATGGAGTTGGCTAAAAAACAGGAACATTTTAAATTTAGATCAGGAAATGTAACTTCAAATTCCAGGCTAATGACTTAGACAAGTTACAGTTGGGTATTGGTGAAATAGCCAACCTATAATTGGAAAACTGGGCTTTTGGTATATTTACAGATTACCTACAATAGTTTTACCTGTTCTGGAATCATATTTCCTAGGGCTATGTGAAACAGCTGTTTCATTTCGATTTCGGATGTGGCTGTTTCACAGAACAGTGATTCGTTTTGATGTTTTGGATCACTGTTCCATTTTGATTTGGCTGAATCTGTTTTAGAGTTTTGACGCTGTTTCGGTGCTGATTCGGATCAGCAAGGCAGAGGCAGGCACAGCTGGGCGGCTGCAGGTTCTCCCACGGCTTCTCTGGCTCTGCCTGCCTCTCCCTGGTGGGGGGGGGGGCTGCAGGAGAAGCCCCCATGGCAGCCCCATTCCCCAGCACTTAAAAAAGAAGGGGAAAAAAAGGAAGAAAAGCCGTGTACTCAGCGGCTGTAGCAGCAGCTATTGGGGTCTGAGGGCTCGTGGTAGAGCCTCCCTGCGCAGTGGGGGCAGTGGGGATCGCCCCCCACCTGGCACCTGTATGGCAGCTACCCCATGGTGCAGGTGCAGCACAGCTCACCAGGGTGCTGCGCACTGTTTGGGAGCTGGGGACGGGTGCAGCCGCAGCTCCCAGATGGCATGCTACGCCCTGCCAATCCGTGCGGCACCCGCAATGCAACAGCTGCCATGTGGGTGCCAACCAGGAGGGGTGATCCCCGCTGCTCCGTGCTGCACAGAGGGGCTCTGCTACGAGCCCTCAGAGGCCCTGATCACCATTGCTACAGCTGATAAGTGCAGTGCTGGTGCCAGGCAGGGGATGGGGCCAGGTATGGCAGCCATGGAGGTTTCTTCCCTGGCTCCTCCAGCTGTGGCTGCCTCTGTTCCGGTGAGGGGAGCTGTGGAAGAAGCCCCTATAGCTGCCCTGCCTGGGCCCATCCCGTGCCTCACCCCATGCTCCTGGCACTTCAGAAGGAGGGCTGCAGGGCGGTGCTGGACTATTCCCCAGGGGCACCTCTGAAACATTTCCAAAATATTTCAAATGGTTTCATTTCATTTTGGAGATGTTTTGGAGCCTTCTGGGTTTTTTTTTTTTTTTTTGGATTCAGTGTTTTGAGTGCCAAAATGGGCCAAAACACCTCTAAAATGAAATGGCTGCTGAAATTTTGGACAGTCCTGATTTTCCCCACTAAAAGATGCATTGCTTTTTCTATATCTTGTATTTTAGGTTCTTCTAATTGTACTTATCTGCTTTAATAAGAATATAATTGCTGTGCAAGGAAGGAAAGAATACATGTATTGTACCATTTCCTCAAAACCCATTGTAGTAGAAAGCATCTGTAAAATACTTGGGGTCTTGCGTGGTGATTTGCAATAATTAGCAGAGCAACACAAACATAAAAGGTAGACTTGCATTCCTCCTTCACATTGGGAGTGTCGGTATGATCTTGTTAGTAATTATGATGCAATATTAAAAACCAGTATCTAGTCTGAAGAATTGTTTTTGTAAAAAAAAAAAAAGCATTGGAGCTCTAAAACAGTCCTATTATTTTTCTGGGTCATTTTGTTAACAAACTGTATACCAGACCAATGGATTGTTTATTTTTTAGTTAATATGATAAGCTGTAAGTGGCTAGCTATAGTACTTTTTCTTTTGAATTCCCACTACGCTCTAGTTTGCTAGTAATAAATAAGTGCTCTCTACTGGCAGCTAGCTTTGAAACAGCCAAATATTTTTAGGTGGCACTTAGGAACTCTGTTAAAAAAAAAAAACAAAAAAACCAAAAAACCCCAACATTCCCAGCTATCATGTATAGTTGTATTTTAATTCAAATCTGTTGTGTCCTGGCTATTATTGGTTAGCAAGAGCAAGTCTGAAAAGCTGGCTGTTAAGTTTTAAGTATTATTTTTCTTATCAAAGAAGCTGGAAACATCAAAACATCTATTTGTCCAAAGAGAGATTGTTGTTCAAATAATCCAATAACAAACCATTGGGAGCTATCTAGTACACAAATGTTTGCTATACACTTTGCTGCTTCTTGATGTTTAAGACTGCAATACTAATTCATATATTTAATACAGTAGTCCAGAAGTTCATATTTCCTCACTCGGAACATGTACATTTTATATTTGGAGATACTGCATCTGAAACACAATTTCTGTGCTTAATATTTTTAAAAATTATATAACTGTCTTTTTAATACTTTTACATAAAATTCATTTATTAAATTTCTCAAATATAGGTTCAACCACGGGCTTGTCTGCCACACCTCCTGCCTCATTGCCTGGGTCCCTCACCAGTGTGAAAGCATTACAGAAGTCCCCAGGTCCACAGAGAGAAAGGAAGTCATCCTCATCTTCAGAAGATAGGAATAGAATGGTAAGGAGCAGAATAGCTGTGTTTTCCTGCTCTTACAAAGATGCCCTTATTCTTATAGCTTCCCTTTTATGAAGGACATCTAAAATTATTCTAGAAATAGTTACTGAAGGAATTGCACTCTCTAAGCCAGTAAACAACAGGGCAGTGTTAAATAACTAGGACTGAAGAAGGAATCATTTATATAAAAGTTTTGCTAGGTACCACGCAAAAGACTATGGATATATACATTTGTTAATGCACATCTGATCTCCCTTCAGTGAAGTTGCTTACATTGTCCTATCATTTTGACAAATATTGGCTTCCTGAATCTCTAATGTAGGCTAATCCCTTGAAAATAACATTTGAAAAAAAATCACAATTTAAGCATTATTTCTCTGAAATTCCTATCCCTGAGATTTCCATTTATTACTTGAAATTTTACAACTTTATTAGTGCCTATTATCAAAATCTGATTCCTTGATAATTGCTATGGTAGGAAATTACTTGGTGTACCACTGTGCTGAGGGTACAGTATGTACTCAGCTGGAAAAGAGTAAAGACTAAATTATAAATCAAATATTACTGACTTGCTCTGGAAATGCTTTCAAACTAAAATTTTAAATGATGCACCCTGTTGAGGCACTCAGGTTTAGAAAGGAACATATAAAAGCTTTAGGAAAGGACACGGTGATTTTATATAATTTTACCACAATTGTGTTTTTCTTTTTAAAGAAAACCCTTGGTCGACGGGACTCAAGTGACGATTGGGAGATACCAGATGGACAGATTACAGTTGGGCAAAGGATAGGGTCTGGATCATTTGGAACAGTCTACAAGGGAAAATGGCATGGTATGTTGCCAATATGGCAAACTGGTGTTCTCGAGCATCATGAAGGAAGCTGTTTAGATGTTTTGATTTATTTTTAGCAAAGCAGTAGTTTAAATACGAGAAATTGGGGCTGCAAATTTAAGAAACTGTTCTTTTGCTCGTGGTAATGAATAATTATCATCTAAAAATGCATTCTAAAGCCAGTGAGCCTAAGGTGTCAATCTCTGACTGTATGAGGAACTCCAAAGAAAGGGAGAGGGGGGTGGGGTTTGGAAATGTTAGAGTTAATATCTGTTAGTAAAGTAAGAAATTATCCTTTCCTTTGTATTTTTATGGAAGAGTCGCTCCTCCTTTTTTTTTCTTCATGTTAATGGCTTGATGACTTTAGGGAAGGCTACAGGATAAAACATTTTATTTTTTACTTTTGCTTTATTTTGTATTACATCCATTGAATAATCTATTTAAACTGTATATCTTTTTTTTAATTGCCTTTTAAAGGTGATGTGGCAGTAAAAATGTTGAATGTTACAGCACCCACACCTCAGCAGTTACAGGCCTTCAAAAATGAAGTAGGAGTGCTCAGGTAAGGAAATATAAATTATCAGTTTGACATTAGATAGTCCATCTAACGCTGTTTCAGAATCATTATTCTTGTTTTTCTGCCTAGAACAGTAGTTCCCAACCCTTTTTGGACCAGGACCCATTTGTAAACATCGATGGCCAGTCCCAACCTAGTGCCCCTCATTCCTGACCCACTGACTCCAGGCCTGAGCATGTGGGGAAGGGGGTGGGTATGTGAGGCATGGGGGGCCCCACGTAGCCCCTTGCAAGCTGGAACCCTGACAACTTGCAAGGAAAAAGCCACTATTTCCCACTTTTTTCTCTTTAAAAGGAGAATCCATTTTTAAAATTCATTGATCCATTTTTAAAGTTTGTTTGTGACTCACTTATGAGTTGTTACCCACAGATTAAGGAACACTGTTCTTATTTTCCAAAATATAAAGAAGTGGAAATAATAATTTGTATTTTTGGAACGTATTTTTCTAGCCACCACTATACTTTCCTTTCTAGACATAAATCTGAATAGTGACTTATACAATGAAAGCAACCTAGAGAACTATATACTTGTGTTTGTTTTCTGATGCATTTAAAGGGAGCTACCATATCTTATTTGGATCAGTGGGGGCCAGCCTTTTTGGCAGGCATGCTACTGACTAGCCTGACATCCTTCCCAAGTGCCACTCTTAATCCCTTTCTCCTGCCCTATCTGCTGCCCTGCCTCCTTCCTGCCTGATCTGCCACTGCTTTCTGCTCCCTGCCTCCCCTGCTCTGTGCCACATAGAGGCTGCCCTTGCCACTTGTAGCGTACATTCTGGAGGTTAGCCACCCCTGATTTAGATAGTTCAGTTCAAGTTTGTCATTGATTTTTTTCAGTGAGTTTTCTCCTACAGGAAAACAAGACATGTGAATATCCTGCTCTTCATGGGTTATTCAACAAAGCCACAGCTGGCTATTGTCACACAGTGGTGCGAAGGTTCCAGCTTGTATCACCATCTACACATCATTGAGACCAAATTTGAGATGATCAAACTCATTGATATTGCACGGCAAACTGCACAAGGCATGGAGTAAGTATTGTGTTACTTGTTTGTAATGAACTTTGAGATGGTATTTGCTCTTTTTCATTTTTACTCTTCCTCCAAGTGCAGAGTTAACTAGTTTTTATCTCTGTACTGAGGCCAGAGTCCTCTCCCAGTGTATTGCTGCATTTTATGACAGTACTGTTATTTCTACTCGGTAGAAATTTAAAATAGACCTTTTAATATGCTTCTGTTGTAAGCGTGGCTGTTGGCAACTCAGTTCAAGGGGTGATTACTTCTAACATAAAACAGTTTTCAGTCTGAAGCAAGGTTAAGTAGGTTAAGACCCAGAGTTAGATTGTGAGCTCTGAGAGTGTGCCAGATTTCTGGACAGTAAAACAAAATAGCTGATGAAGTATAAGGGGTGGGGGTGCGT